GAGAAGATGTATATGCATGTAAATAATGGTTGGTGTTTCGAAGTGTATCTAGTCTAAACTGACTAATTAATGCACAGGACGGCATGCGCAAGCGTGGTCTGTTGCAATTACCTTCAACTAATGTCAATTGGAACTAATGAGGTCAGTATTAACGTCAAGGACCTACGAAATTAGTTGTTTTGGGGATTTATTAACCATTTCAGCTTACTCCCCCTCCTAGCTGAGTAGTTAGGATCCTGAGACAAGAACGGTCAGAGGTTTGACCTATATAGGCTTGGCTTGAGCAAACATTTCGATAGCTGTTTACGTCCAAAAGCGTCTGACTCACTTCCTACTTTCAGTAGTCGTGGAGAGAAAGTAAAAGTGTACGAAAAGAAATTAACTTGTCCTGTGAATTTATCTGAGTTACTTAATCTTTTCCAGTCGTATTATAAGAAGGAAGAGAAAATGTAGGTGGTGTCGAACTCACTAACGCTTGAGTAAGCAAGAGAACCGTGCGAAAAATATGAATAAATACTTGTAACAGAAAGAACGCTTTGAAAAACTCACCTAAGCGTCTTATTAGTTCGTTTTGTTATTAAATTGTTCTTTTTCTTACTACTGTATTCTAACCTTTATTCAGATCTCTTCTAATCACACTTTGTATCCTTCAGTTTTCCTTGTCTGGGCTTCAGCTATATGGCTGTGGTTGAGTATTATCTTTTTATTACTTAATTTAACTGTTGCATGTTGCTGGACCATTATCGATAAGGTTGTGTTTGACTGAAGTCAATGCCACGTTTGGTCCACTGTTTGATTGTTGACCTTCGACTGTCCGCTGAAGAAGGTTATTGGGATCCTTTGAAATAGATATCTGATCCGATGTAGAAGAACCTTTGGCCGAATAGCACAGGCTGTATCGTTTGAGCTCTTTTTATTTATATTTGTATACTTTCTAAAATCAGAACCGCTTGAATTGAGCACTCATGAGTTTGTTTTGATAAAATTTAATACAAGTCATTTAATAAAACTTCGTACAGTCCAATATACCTTGGTTCTTCAGTTTTGTATCTAGACCGAATACTGGGATTTCAATTGTTCTTTTCCCAAACTAGCAGTAATGGTCTGCCGCATTTATATGAACATAAATATCGGTGCGAAGGGGCACTGTGTGCATATGCGCCCAAGTCAGTCGGTTTGTGTGTGGGCTGTGATACTCTCGAATGTTCAGACCGAAGCAGATGGCTTTCTTAGAGGGCCACACGCAGAGCCTTTGACCTAAAGGTCTGATCCATATAGCAGTTGAGAAACGTAAGTAGATGCAGTCCTATGGTAGCCGGTGACCAATAAGTGGTTCATGCGTCATTCGTTTCCTTAGGATCCTGAAGCCCATGTGCACCACTGGTTTGAAATCACGGTTTTCCAACTCCCCTGCCGCTGTCTGATTGACATGCTGATCTCATCAACTGCTGGTGGGCCAACAACAACTGGGGGTCCATGGGTGCTGCCTCGATGTTGGATGGGTTCAATGGAGCTGGTCGATTCAAGAGTTCTTTGGAGTGTTCTACCCACCAGTTGCGTTGTTCTTCAATGTTGTTGATTACCTTGCCTTCCTTGCTTTTCACTGATCGTTCTGGTTTACGGTAATTTCCAGGGAGTTTCTTTGTTGTATCATACAATATTCTCATGGTTCCCTCTCTTGCAGCCTTTTCCACTGTCATTGCTAAGTCTTCCACATATTTACGTTTGTCGGTTCTGATCCTCCTTTTCACTTGCTTTCTTATTTCTGTGTATTCGGCTTGTACCTTGGCTTTTTCTGCTCTTGTTCGGATGGTATTGATTACTGTCTTTTTTTCCTCCTCCCTTCAGTCTTATCCAGTGTACCAACACTGATCCATTCCTCGTGATGGTGCTTCTTGTGGCTCAGAACGTACTGACATGTTGAAATGATTGCCTCTTTTATCCCTTTCCAGTTGCTCTCCATTGAGTAGATCATGAAAGGCCTGAAACTTATTGTTGAGGGCTATCTTGAATTTGTTGAGTTTGTCAGTATTCAGAAGAAATGCCGTATTAAACTTTTGTGATGTTGTCCACCCCGTTGTCCAGTGATTCTTAAGTTTTAATTTCATCTTGGCAACCAGCAAGTGATGATCTGATGCTAAATCAGCTCCTCTTCTGGTTCTCACATCCTCCATCGTCCTCCTGAACTTTCTGTTGATGAAGATATGGTCAATTTGGTTCTGCGTAGTGTGATCCGGTGAAGTCCATGTGGTTTTGTGAAAACGTTTATGTGGGAATATAGTGCCACCTATGACCAGTTTATTGAAGGCACATAGGTTTGCAAATCTATTACCATTTTCGTTCCTTTCTCCCAGTCCATGTCGTCCCATGACGTGTTTGTATCCAGTGTTGTCCATTCCAACCTTGGCATTTAAATCCCCCACCAGAATAGTCAATTTCCTTGTTGGGTACTTCTCGACGATCGACTGCAGCCTATCGTGGAATTGGCCTTGAACGTCTTCATCACAGTCGTTGGTAGGCGCACAGCTTTGGATGACGTTCATTGTAATGCCCTCTTTCTTTGTTTTGGAGGAGGCTTTGATGATTCTTGGTCCTTGAGATTCCCATCCCATATGTGCACTTTGTGCTCGTTTGAACAGCGTCAATGCAACTCCTTGTGTATTGGCGAATTTTCTTCTTCATGGCCAGAGTATAACAGAAGTCCCCCGAAGATAGTCGTTGTTCTCCAGCCTGCGTCTAATGAGTTTCATTGATCTCAAGCACCTCGAAGTTGCATTTCCTCATTTCTGCTGCAATTTGGAAGACTCTTCCGGTCTCGCACATTGTCCGGACGTTCCATGTACCTGTAATAATTGTTGCTCTGGTTGTTAGAAGGTGAGTCGGTCTCATGACTTTCAAAGGAACTCGGCTTTCTTCATGAGGCTTTATGATTCTTCCTTCTACTCCCAGGGCAGAGTTTTAATGATTTGAATAATTTTTCTGGTTAGCGTATTTTTAGCGAGTTAGTTTTCTAAGGAATGGGGTCGCTAGCTGCATGCCCAATCCTCTTCCTTTATCCGAGCTTGGGACCAGCAGTAGATCTCGGAGGAGCCACAGGCGGAGTTCCACATTTTTATACCTGAGAGAAATGTTAAGCGGTAATCTTATAGAGTGAGTCCGTAACGATGATCTACGGAAGTGATTTGTTGAAACCTAGTAGTAAGTTTCGTCTCACCTAATAAGTTGAGACCTTATAGCCCTATATACGTTGCTTTCCATAGACATACCCATGAACGTAATTTATTCTTAGGTTTTACCAAAAATCGAAGAAGTGCCGTTTTTTTCTCGTAAAGTACGTTACTGCGACCCAAATTTATCATCTGCCAAATAGTTTCTGGAACTCTTTTGTACGTAAAGCAAAATAGCAAGAAACCCGGTGAATCATAATTAATTTGTCAAAAGAACATATGCAGCAGATTCGTTTACCTTTATCGGGTAACAACTTTTATCCTTCAGGATAACAAAACGTTTTCATGCAATTTTTATATCTAATAAAATTCTCTTCAAAACATTTAAAAAAGACAGCGACGATGCAACACTCTTGATTAAAAGTTGTTGGAGATATATCCAAAACTTCAGTTTATCTATTGAAAACATTACCTTTGTGGTATTCACAAACCAAATAATGGATAACAAGGTTATTACAAATTATGATTTACTATTCATTGTTTGAGCTGTTAGTTACGGATATGAATCATGATATGAATTTGTAGTCTGAACAAGCCCTTCCTTACCGATGGATTTATTGTCGGACACTATTAGCTAATGAGACAGGCAAAGTCACATTTGGCTAAATAGACAGTGAGATTGAAAGTGCAAGGAAGCAACCACTCGCTTGCCATCTGAAACAAGAATTGAATGTATGGTAAAAAGTGTGAAAATCCTTAACCTGATGCAGTGTATTTTGACCTTGTAGAATGGAGTTATTGAAAAATCAGTCGTTTACATTGTATGATTTAGGTATACTTATTTCGCAAGTAGCTATGGATGGCGAACCTTACTTTTGAGTTGTCGAAAGATGATCGCATTCATAAACCCGTATTTACGATTTTAAAATTTAGTTACTTTACTGTTTTAGCATATCTAAAATAACAGATTTAAGCAGACCCTAACTGAATGACTGGATGTTTACTTCGATTGTTATCCTGTTCAAACTGTAAGTAGGTAATAAACAAGTTGGAGACAGTTTATACATGAATTAACTTCAGTCTTATGATGATTATAGTTGCAAATAACTCCCCAAAATAAATAGTTCATAAACATTCAACATTAATACTAACCTTGTTAGTTTTAATGGACATTATGAACTGAAGAAATTACTACCGATCAAGCGTCAGGTTTTGATCAATGTACGCCCTGACGTGAAACTTTTCCTTTAGATAACAGATTTCGAAGTTTTACTTGCGTCTACCTCTGTCTACAGTTAGATGTACTTTTCCGCCTAAAAGATATTGTCTACCATGTTTGTATTCGAGAGAAATTATTAAATGCTTGAAAATCGATATCGTGTGATTTTGTCGAGTCCAATGTATTTTGAAAATCCTTAGAAATTATTTCGTAGCGAACTTATGTTTCGTCCTAACTTAGAATCATCAAGTAGTGTTCATCGTTTGTTAAATTTAAAACAAAGTTATCAGGTTTAGTGGAAAGCAGAGCGCTGTTACACTGGCGAGGCGAAAATGAACTTTTGGGGATTTTCAAGTGTATTTAGTTTCACTTTGAAACATTATCATAATTTATTATTGTAAACAAGATTACATCTTTATCCCCTTCTTGATTTATCTTGCAGTCAATAGGTTCCCATAAGGATCTTAGATCTATCCCTAAATAAACCATCAATAACAGATAGTGTGTTCTTTGCTAATGGGTTGATCTTAGTCATACATTTCGAGGTCTACGTTCTTTATTTCATCTGATAAATAAGGAGAGTAAGATTTCTTGTGAAAAAAGTCAGAGAAGTTATTATAAGTTATGGCAATATTTTAAAAATTATTCAATCAAATGATACACAAGCTATTAAGGCGTAAAACCTGAATGGTTTTGTCAATTGGCAATTCTAATAATAATAATCTTTCGGCAACTATTTTTCAGATTAATCATCTACAGAATTGATATGCACCCGAAGTAGGTTCTAATACAATAGGTATACTTGTTTGTAAACAATCAGGAATAGTGAAATAAGGTTTATGAAAAAAGCAGTTTGGGAATAATTACAAAATGGAAATTGAAGAGTTACCGATGGAGTAGTTTTATGATAGCAATAGTGAATGTTGCTGAAATTGTTTGTTTCTCTTAACTTATAAGTAATATAAATAAATGTATGTGTATATGTGTATATATAACTATGCATTTGTTATTGAGCTCTCAAATTCATTTGGTAAATGTATATGTGTTGTAGTAATAATTGGTTGATGTATTTTCAATCTAATTTCTTTATCGAAATGATCATTTTGGTTATGGATATTTAACAATTCAGTTGACTGAACAATAACAGGATTTGATAATTTTGTTTTCAGACCAGTTTCCAATAAAGCATCGGTAAAATCCATGGATGCTAAAGATTTATTTTTTTGAATAATAGATTTATTTGATTCATTTTTAATCTGGGCTTTTCCACAGTAGTTATTCTTTGTGGAATAATTTGAATCATGCTAAATGTTAATCAGAATTAGTAATAAAGTATTGTTAGATTTAAATAGCTTGATTGACTAGAACAAATTTAATTTCTTTTGAACTATATCTTTGTATGCTACACAATTCTAATTAGATCGAGTGTATAAATAAACATAAAATGGCTTACAGTTACACTGAAGACATTTGATGGCATGAATGGAAGTCGCTTACAGTGAAGCAGTTGTATTCAGTCTTTTTATTGATTTCGGTCTCATTGTTTCATCCTCCAATTATATTTTTTCCTTTTGAAATATATTTCTCATGTTTAGATTTCCAATGCCTTGGACATGAGTTCCATTCTAGGTACTAGCTCTTATGTTAGTAACGTCTGACGAACCAACAATTGTTGATGATCTATTTAACCTTAAGGTATCTATTTTTGATTTATCTCTTGAGTATAACAAACTTTCAAATCAGATGATTGGTAAGTAAGTTGTTTCAAATGGCTAAACAACCACCTATCAGATGGTTTTAGATTAGTGAGCACTTAGAAGTAATGGTAATAAAATGAAATGGAGAAGCCAGTGATAGTAGTTCACAGTAGACGAATATTTAAAATATAGGTTAAAAATTTAGCGCCCAGTGAAGTCAAAACTAATAAGGACGCAACAGTAGCTCAATTTCAGATTTGGCGAATTGAATAGTAAATGAAACACTTTAAGAAGCAAATAAAGAAAGAAACCCATTGTATCGGTGTGGAAGAAAGAAAACGATTCAGAGAAGAAAACCTTTTCAACGACTTCACTTGGACTATTCAATCGTATTTATAGTCGGTTTTACTTGTTAAGTAGCACTCTGTAATAAAATCAAATATTAAAAAAACTTGAAGTTGTATTCTGACATGAATTATTTACGAAAACCGGATATTGAAAGGAAGTCATACGATAATCGGCTATTAAAACGATAAGGTAGAGATAATTTTTCACTTGATAACTAATTTGAACATAATAGTTAAAAGTTTCTAATTAATGGTTGTGAGAATAATTAGAAAGAAGTAGAAATAATAATTTAAAGAAATGATAGGTTAAGGAAGGTTAAGACAATGGAAGAATGACGGACGTAACATACTGTTTTCGTACGCAAAGGTTAAGCTTGAGCTTGTGGATAGCAATAGCCTCTGCTGCACATAAGTTTCTCATTACCACTCCTCTTGAGCCGACTCTCTTGATTGTATGTATGATTTTGAAAGAGGCTCCTGGTGAAGTGGAGTGATCAAAAACGACTAGATGATTCAAGATAGAGTTTTTGACAGTCCTTTTCGCCCAAATATTTATTAATTGAGATTCCAAATATCACTCTGATGTTATTGCGAACTTAGTTGTGTAATGACAGTTACTGAATGAGTTCAGGATGTTGACACTGATATTTTGCCACAAATAATAAAAGTCTCATCTAAATATCTCTTGTATTGATAGAAGCTGTCGTTGTTGGTCTAAGTATAGTGTTTTATATATACATTGTACAATCGCATTTATAGTTAAATTTATTTGCTAAAATAGTAAATAAAATGAAATAGGACATTTCCTTTGATTTGCTTTTTTCCTAATTTGAGGAGGAGTTTAATCCTTATCCAGCAACACTTATATAGCTCACCATTCTCCATCAGTCTTCGCGGAAGAGATCGGAAGTAAGTCTTCAACTCCTGATAATATTAAAAAGCATTTGAATCAAGTCAGTTTACAGGGAAACAAGTTTGATTTTAGATTTCCGAGATCACCAGTTAAATTGACTGAGGTAATGATATTTTATTTGAGTGATCCCTGACGATCGTAGTCAGTGAGGAAGGACATAAGCTTCATTGTGATAACCTCAGAAAGATTGGGTAGGGTCATATGGTCTCTTGAATCTTGGTTTTTGAGATCACCTGTAACACAATTCCACCTCAAAATCAGCAAATCAGAATAAACCAGGCGGGTTGTAAACATGCGCATGAGTGTCCCGATCAAATATTTATCAATCTTCAAATTTATATGTGTAGACATATTTACAGAATTCCTGTCGAAGATGTATTTAGATTTTGATTCGATCGATTGGAAGTTCCTGTACTATTGTCACTATCAGGGATACTAAAGTAAGCCGCCCTATTAAAAATTTTCTACTCAAAGATTGGTTGAGTCAGAGTTGTAAATAAATCTTTTCTGTGTTGTCTAATCTCCACTTTCATTGGTCATGGCTTTAGGTATGCTCAGTGAGTTAACTCTTTCTTTACTTTCCAGGGATCGGTATCTTACTAAATACTCCGAGTTGAATTAAGCAAATGTAACAGTTCTGTTCGACGAAGATTTATAAAAAATTACGACATAGGTATAATATAAACTACCTTTATGCCGTAGTATAGAATATTATTAATCAATACTTAGTGGAATATTGAAATACACTTAGCGTTCTTCTAGTCAAATACAAATATAGTAATATGAGGACAATTTACCAACTAACTTATAGCCTGTATTTTCAGTGTTGCCAGACACAGCAGCTGACTAACATCTTGATACTATATGCAAATAGCGTTTTATTATTGTAGTTATACCATGGTTGAGGGCGAACAATTTGGAATTCTCCTTATCAAAAACCCAATCATTTCTTCTGGTTAGCGTTTTTTTAGCGAGTTAGTTTTCTACAGGATGGGGTCGCTAACCCCATGCCCAACCCTCCTCCTTTATCCAGGCTTGGGAGAGGCAGTAGCCCTCGGAGGGGCTACAGTCGAAGTTCAATAATTTCTTATGCATTCAAATTTTTACTTTCAATTTTCAACTAACTATTAGTACAACACCTCTCCTAACCATTTTTAGTTCACGTCTGAGTCATAACATACTCCCTTCGATATATTGTTTTTCTTTATGGACAATTTATCATCGGATACTTTTTTAATTCTGGTGACTGTAAAATTATGCAAAATCTCTTTATTTAGTTACAGACTGTTATAATATAAATTTCAGTACTTGAATTTTGTTGATAACTTTCTTCGATGATACGAATTTCTCTAATCGTTTGCAAAAGCAACCTTTAAGTAAATTTTACTCATTGACTTTTCTGCAGTGTAATTTGTTGGTCGCTCAGCAGTAGTAGACTCATTAAACGTTTAACGTCAATTAGATATATTATTTACATTATTCATCACGGTTATTTAATCATATTCTCAAAAACCTATTACAATTTTTACCAGTCTGATTCTATTATTTAAATGATATGTCATAAAAATCCACTAGAATTATCAAGCAGGGAATAGTTTTCACCTTGTGCATTTTTCAATTCTTTAGTTGTCAGGTACACTAATTAAGTTTATATTTAAAAATCTTTATCTATCAACAGTAAATTTATCAATGTAACGAATAATTTGTTAAATATTTAATATATCTTCCTTTAGATGACATGCATGGTCTTTTTATTTGCATAGAAATTATATACGTCTAATTCTTACCAATTTTCTTTTATTAATTAACGGGATCAATCTACAATCTACAAGAAAAGTGTTTCAACTTTTCTTCTCAATATTATTATGCAAGCGTATTTCAGTTATAATCGGGTGCTCTGATAGAATTAATGACTTTATTTCTGAAGTAAACTTCCAAAAAGCCATTGATCCGTCTGAGCGAACATTATTAAAATAAAATTCAAATATAAAATTGTTATTTTCGCCTTCTAATTAAAACTTTGCAACATAAATTTCAACTAATCAAATTACAATGGTGCATTATTTACAGACGATCAAACAATTATGTAGGCAATAAAAGTGTACTCCCAATTATCTGAGCACAAACTTTTAAATACAGACCAACATATTATTTATTTCAAAGAATTCATAAACATACCCAAAGATTTATATCAATACGGCTCGAAAATTACCGTCACTAGTTTCATAACGTTCGCCGAAAATTTTAACAGATGTCCTTAGCGGTAACAGTAAATGGTAAGCTACCAACCGATCGGCATTATTGCTGTTGGGAAGATCCAGAAAATTCTTCAAACAGGCTCTGAAAACGCTGAGAAATATCTTATCCAATCACCATTCAACAGAAGTTCTACCAGAAACATCTAGACAGAGAGAAGTCACTTGTCACGTTCCTGATTGGGTGATTACCTATACTTCTAAGACGTTTAGTAGCGTTCCAGAACTTTCTGAAAACCCAAAGCCATCTAAAATTCTTCGAATACCCTGGACGTACTTAGTAAACTAATTAAATATTACGTATGATGAGTTGGTAGCTGAATAATTACTGGTACGGAAAAGAATACCTGCTTAACTTTGTACCTTACCGCGCTCTTGGCACAAATGAGGCTTCCTTCTACATATATTGTACAGAGGTCTTCTCTGTACAACTTAACATGTTATTCTGGTTAAAAGACAGGTGGATGGTAAAGAGCTTAGAGATGATCAGAACAGGTCATGCAGTTACTAAAAGTTTGTCTATGTTTTGTTGAAGGATGCAGATTTACTGGTTTGTAGATGTAAAGTATTTGTAACTTATTGTAGAAGATTTAGGCGCTTTAACTCCAAATCTGTCATGAGTACTCAGATGCATCTATTTTTGCATTCTATTTCTGGACACTATATAATTCATTTTTTTATTTCTTGTGGCCTTTTCTCCCCATATTTTTAGTTTGTTTCCATTGCCGTTAGTGATTTTATTTCCACTTGTTCTCCTGCCCTTTCGATGCCAATTGTGACAGCTTGAACCTATGCATTCTAGCTCTAACTTGTTAACGTCAATATAGTTGAGATGTTATCACAACCTCGAGGTAAGCAGAGGAATTTAATACTAACACGAAAACATCCTCTTATGTGTTTTCTTCATTATTGTGATTAAAAAACATCCACTGGTAAAAAATGTGTAAACTTACTTGGTGTTTTATTACCTGCAAGCAAAATGCCATTAAAAAAAGGAGTGGATAAACTGGTTTATTGAAGTTAAATTTCGATCTTATGAAGCAAATTAAAGAATGATTTCTACTTGTACACAATGGAATTTTCCTTTATGTCATTGTAAGCAAAGAAGGATAATAGCTAGCAGTGGAATCTGGGACTCGCGGTTCGTCCTATTTGGGACTGGTCAGTTGGATATACTTGCATTTCAGAGTTGATATTCACTCTGAGCTTCGAACCCAGTACCGTTCGATTCAAAGACTATCGCTTTATCCACTTAGCAACTGAGTCCTGACAGCCACTTGCTTGTGCAATGGGATGAACTTTAAATTCACTTGGTATTGTTTGATTGAAGTGAAAGGTACTGGGTTCGAGTCCCAGATTGAACGTCAAATCTGAGATGCAGGTATATCCAACTGGCCAGTCTCAAATAGGACGAAACGCGCGTCCTGAATTCCACTGCTAGCCACTATCCATCTTCCCTTATAATGCTTGTTAATTAAGGCTATATCGAGGCAATACGCACAGTATGCACATATGCCAATAAGAGACTGATCAATTGCAGTCCTAAAAACATCAATGGGAAGATTCAAACAAACAATACCAAGTGAACTTTTTATCATTGGTTTATTAAATGGTGCTGTTTACCTGAAGTTAATCTTTCAAAATAATTACATACATTCATACCTTGGGATAATGATCAAAATTGGAAAGAAATTCTTGACCATTAAGAATTATCGGTTGACGAGTTCTGTTTTATTACTAGTAGACCTAGTGTTCCAGTTCTGTTACATGCATTAAATAATATGTCTTGATGTCTAGTGAATTATTGGTAATGTATTAAAGCACATAGAAATCGATGACTGATTTTTGTTTGGACAAAATAAATCTGACTTAGAAAGTAATATGATGGAAAATCACCCAAATAAAATGTTTCGATATATAAAAGTACTATTTGTCGTATGAATTTTCCTTTGGATTCATACTACCAGTGATAGTTACCGGCTCGAGTTTCAATGTGACTATCAATGCTGAAATACATGTAGCTCCATCTGACGAGTACCAGTTAAGACAAAAGAAGTATTCTGGATTTTCCTACCAATGTCTGGAAATTCGTGACCTAATAGTTGGCACATTTCTAGTAACTTTTAAGTATATAGCGAAACAAAATTAATGTGCTTTAATGGGAAAAGCTATTATTATAATTTCAGCCACCGACAGTGCATTAAGTAGTAAAACATGCATTTTTCATTTATGTAAAGCGATTTTGACATTTGATCATAAAGATATGGTGTTACTCTTACTACAAAATAAATCTTATGCTTGATGAAAACTGATATACATAGGGGTATTGTTGAGTTTTATTACTGTAGCAAATTTGTCCAGTATATGTCATTCCAATGTACCCAAATTGAACAATCAGAAAAACCGAGACATCTGACTGAAATTACAAGTACTTAAGTGAGTTTTGCTATTATTTTCTATTATTAATACACACAAATAGAATGTAGCTGTGTAGTCTTATATTTTAGTTATTACTTTATACGTTAGTTACCGATCGATTCCTTTCGCTTTAGTTATTCTGTATTTTATTCAAATTCTTATTGAAAAACTTGGTGTCCATTTAGATTGCTCCATGTATTAAATTTTATCTAGAAAGTCATCATAAACCCGAAAGGACTGGACAGATTTTCCGTCTTGGTATAGGACTATTCGGCAGTAAACTTACACGAATTCTCCAGAAGTCAAATCTGATACCTTAAGGCATCACGGTGAGAAAGTTAAATTTTTGGTTCACACTCTTAAATGCCGGAAGTTTGTAAGGAAGTTTCATACTAAGACAAACAACTTTTCAGTTTTTTGGTGGTTTCCTAACTAAAATCAACGCATAGGGTAAACTACAAAGTGAATACTCTACATAAGTCTCCTATACTGTTGCACCTTCATTTTTTGTACTTTCATAGTAGTAATGTCGTTAGATAGAGAATAAATTACTATATGACTTGCTTTATATCACATGTTAACATGAAACCCCCTTCGAATTAAGCCATATTTTATGAATACTGTTCTACTTGATAATCACCAAGTAATTAATTTCGGATGGCAGTTGTATACCAAATAGCAATATTCATATCAAAGGATTGGTTATCATCTTTTTAAAATTGTACGAAGATCAAGTCTTTTTCTGTTTTTAGTTGTTTTGTCACATATTAGACCAACATGATAAGTAACCCAAAAAAATATTAAGCATATTGATAGGAAATAAACAGGAAAGTGAGCTTGTTTCATGTTTTGGTTGCTATAACTACAATTAGACTGATTTATACTTGTATGGTGATTGTAGATATTCTTATACCATGCCACCAACAAGTATCAGTTACAAACTATTTCAGTCAAGTAATCTGTTTTTAAAGATATTTTCACACTAAGTTGTTTTTTATTGGTTATCTAAGTTATTTTGTTTTGTAATAAGTATTCAGTGGCATGGCACCTTACCTACATTTAAGTCTGTTTACGTTTTTGTCATTCGCTTCAATTAATTTAACAATGTCATTTGAAAAGTATCAATTTGTGAATCTTTGTATTATTATTATTATTATTATTATTATTATTATTATTATTATTATTATCTTCATGTCTGTATGCTTGATCACGTGTTACAGCCTACACACCTACCTCTTACTACCTTAAGTATTAGTTGCTTTAATCTTTCGATGAATCATTCTCTTTCCCATATGTATGTGCTTGAATCTTATTAATTCACTCGACTCTATTCGATTGTTAATTCGCCTCTGTATTCTCTTGGTTGCTTTCTCACTTTCGCTCCAATTCGTTTTATGTGTTTAAAGCTTAGTAATATGTACTGTACAGCAATAAACCGTAGTTGACGCTTCGTATTGTTTACTGAAATTCATTCACTGTTGGGATTTATTTAATAACAGTGGTCAGGACGATTGACATACGAAGTTTTATGAATTATCTCGAAAATAATCAACTACAGAGCCACTGGCATCAACAGCTTACAATCTGACTGTTGTCTGAAAAAAAGTGTGGTTAATCGCGCATCTCATTACCAAAGTTGGTAGTAATGAAATAATTTAACCTATTACACTATCTTTTTTGGGCAAATCTAGTTCGCTTTGTTTTGGTTATGATTATGTAATTGCTCATTTTTATCAACGCCCCTTTATGTGGAAGAATTTTCAACATGTAAACATGCATCATTCTTAACTATCACGCTTAGCATAATGCTTTGTTTCTTCTTTCTCTTGTGATATGCCTTCGCGTCTCAAAAATCTACACCGACTTCACTAAATAAAGTGTACCAAACCTTTATTTCTAATTGTATTACCTTTTTAACTTTAAGCTGTTTACAGCCCTGAAATAAGTATAGCAACACTCCGGCTAATTCATATCAAGATTAATTTTTGTCAAGCCCCTTTATTAAATTATTCAACAGTGAATGTTATTCGGAGAGTAACAATTCGTCTATTTCTTTGTATTATCATGTTCACTATCATGTCTGCGTAAACGTGTACGCTTGACCACATGTGACAGCCTACGCATATATCTCTCTCCAGCTTGAATGTTAGTTGCTTGAATGTATCTCGGTGATTCATTCTCTTCCCCACGTATATATGTACTCGAATCCTATTATTAACCTTTGCTTTGCCTAGCTGTGCCTTGGTTTGATTTGACTTAGTAACGGTTATCAGGGTGATTGATAAACGAAGCCAAGCCATTACATAAGATGATGCATTCAGCTTATTCTGGAGATTTTTTCCAACCTTTATTTGACATATAGCCATTTGTATACTTTTATTTGTCTTGTTGAAATTTGTGTAAACCACGTAATAAGTTGAACTCCATGTGCTACGTAAGTACTGATACCTTTCTGAGAATAAGAGAGGTTAGAAAATGATTTTAACTTTAGGTGACTGATTTGAGGTATGTAATATATCAGTTTAACTTGTAGATTATCTAAAGTAAAAGTAAAAAATGTAACATTGAAAGATTCGCTTGATTTCGTTATAACCTGAAATCCACAGCCAAGTTTACGGAACAATATTAAATTCTATATGTTGATTGGTGATTATTAGGGTTTAAATTACTCAGAAATTAAGTGTAGCTAAGATATCATATTACAGTTCATTTGGTCTTGAACAGTTGTAATCAATCACTAGTGTTCTATACTCAAATTACTGTGAAAAATGCTACTTAAAATAAATCCTCAAGAATAATTTCTGAAGTAAATAATCTTTTTCTCCTTATTTAAGAAGAAATCTTACCAATGATAGTGTTTTTTTAGTAGACTGACATTGGAACTCAGAATACGATTTATACATCTAAGAGAACTTGGTTTCGATCTCATACTAACTCGTATCAACAGCCCATCACTTTTAACCCAACTTTAATATAGAATTTTGCTCTATTGATTGGTGCTTTAATTATATACCAGATAAAAGTAAACAGACTTCAAAAAAATTCTTATTTGATTCCATTAGTAGTAAAATGACTAATAAATACATTTAAAACAGGATGGGCAAATACGTATTTCTTTACAACTGGTTCATTATCAAGACTCTACACCAATATATGGGTGATACAATTAAGAACAAAATCAATACCAAATAAATTGTGATTGATCAACTTAATATCGTCCAGCTGAATTAAGTGATTTTTCCCATACATCTCATCAATATATCACCGATTATATCCCCTTTGAACCGTAGTTTTAGGAGTAAACATTTCTTTGATACTGTCGGTGTTTTTTGTTTTGCATCATACCATAAACATTTTTTTCTTTAGAAACTTTGATTGCTATCCATTTTTACTCAGTAGATCATGGATAGTGATACGACTAATAAGAAAGAACAAAGAATGAACACTAATCGTGACTAGATTGCGGCTTTTTCTCCTCAGTCAGCCAATAGTGAGTTAACGGAATAAAGATTTCTTGCCTAGTTCCGGCGTATCTATTCACCAGCCCAACTGTTCGTGTGGAGTTGTTTATATTGGGTCCACAACGAAGCAGCTACAACAGCGTATTTCTAAATAGCACCATTTTTAGTTGACCAAACGACAAGAACAAGAAGAAGCTCCGTTTTGCCACAGTTAATGAATATAAGTCATCACGGTCTAAATTGATATTTTATAGTTAATAATAGAACCCCATTGAAATCTCCCTATTTCGGAAATCCGCTTTATATTGACAGTAGAAGGAGTAGGTATACACATCAATAAACTCAATCCATAATTCGTTCTTGCATTGATTGTTTGAATCTCTTTGTTGACGTTTAGGACTTCAATCAATCAGTCTCTTATTACCACATGTTCATCCTGTGGGAATCGCTTCGATGTTACCTTAAGTCACAAGCATTATGATAATTTTGTAAATGACGCTAAACACTTAAATTCCATCGGTCAATTTCAAATCTACTTAATTCTCATTCTTGCGTAATGAGTTTTTATAATCAACTGGTTATGCAACATTTAGGTTTTAATTTGCATCCGCTAAATGTATATCTTAATGCTTTTTTGGGTAAATTTTGAGATACCTTGTTCAATTGACCAACCACCATTTATTTATGTCGATTTTATTCTTAATTGTATAACCTATATATAAGTGTACGATTTGGTTAGAGAGGAGTGAAAATCAATAACGTATGGACTTCAGAGGGACTAGCAATCTATCTTTTCAAACCTGAACTCTGTGCGCTAGAGAGACGTTCAAGCCATCATTCTTCCATGGCCTTAACAAGTAATTTTCGTCAACCATAATTTGATTGTTAATGTGTCCTTATATAGTTTCTAATCCGGTTAATTCTAATTATTCGTTACTATCACCAAGTTTTTAAGATTCACTCTTCACCCTTCTCATGCTCGTCAAGTGGACAATTATCTTTCACACATCTTTTTTTTCAAATTCTCGATCGTTAATCAACTTTTTTTAACACATGAGATGATGTAATCGCCCTCCCATTCTTAAATAGACTATTTTATTTGTCAATTGACTTTAAATGCGATTGTACAGCCTGAGTAAATAATATTGTCTTATAAAAACTTTTCACTGGATTATCGTTAATTTTTCCTAATTGAAAAGAAACATCTTTTCGTTCAGTTTGTGTTTTAGTGTCTTAATGGGAACATTTAAAATACTAATGAATACATTTTAACATAATGAGTACTAACGTACGTAATTTTACCTCATCAGCCATTTTTAGAGCGTAATCTGACCAATCAGTTTTATTGTTTGAGGCCTGTATAATTGATGCTCTACGACCAAGAGATTGTAAGCGTTCTGCAGCTACCTTTTCCAATGTTATTCTCACTTCCGGATAATTTTCTAAGACATCGTAGAAGTTTTTTTGGTCCAGTGAGTATAGTGTACAATAAGTCTCAGCCTCAACACTAGCTACACGTCGTGCATTTGTTAATAAGCATATTTCTGCATTTGAAATAAAATATGCGAAAAATGAGGATGGTAGATTTGTGAACGATGAATGAATAAAATATAAACTAGTGGTCTCAAGATAAAACCCTCAATACGAAGCCTGGAATTCTTTGTTAGTATCAATAGTAGGGTTGTAGGTGAACACTACTGGGTAGTCACCTACCAGAGCCAGGCAACCGTTTAGTGACTTCATTTTTTCCATAATTGTTTTGATGAACATAGCTCGTAATCACAATCACACGGAACTTTATTTGATAACTACATAGTTTTGGAACGAGCTAATCCGAATCAAAATAACTATCTGTGAGCTTTGCGCGGAAATAGAGAGTGAGTGGATTATATCTTTATTTACGTAAAATACACGATAAATATGTTTTTGTATGTTCAGAATATTGACATACAGACTCGTGGACGCGGAATATGTTAGCGGCCACATAAACTCAGCAGATTATTGGCTAACACATTAGAGTTTGAAGCGGAAGTTACTGCGTTCGAGTTCTGGAGTTAACATCGTTACTGGGATATGGGTTTATCCATCTGCCGAATCCAAAGATGGACAAAGCTGGCTCCCTAAACTCTACTACTACTCATAATCTAGATTTATTTCACTTCAAACGTAGAAGGTGGAATTTCCTTTCATAAATTTTCTTACATTTTGTTGGCTAACTCTTAATCTACAGACTCCTTATGCACATCAGAAATAGAAAATTGCAAGTTCTATACTATGAGTTAGTTAGCAACACTATAATATTCGAAGAAACTGATACTGCGATTAAGCTTCAGAAGAAATATTACCACTCATTCCAGCTGACAAATCTAAGCGCGAAATGAGCTTTCTAAATTCAAACGCTAGATATCACCTAAAAGACCTTTATTCACAAGTTTTTCAATGAATATAAATAAATAAAAACCATACAAGAAAGATTGTTTACCTCCAAAATAACACCCATCCGACAACCTTGTAGCTAGTATACCATCTTTAGTAATGATGTTGACAACACCTTCTTGTATGAAATACATTTTTGTGCCGTACGTTCCTTCTTTTATAATTAAATCACCGGGTTGAAATACCTCCTGTTTTAACTTAACAATAACCTCTGATACGAAATTTTGGTCGGCATTAGCAAATATTGGAACAGATGCTACTAAGGCACGACAGTTGTAATTTATAATTTGCTAAATAAATAGTAAATTGTATGCGAACACGAGAAAACACTATGTATAGATATGATTTGAACAATAAAAATTTTAAAAAAATGAAAAAGGTTAGTTGAAAAAGTAATAATATTGGTTAAACTATTAACAGTTAAAGAAACGGCTAAGCTTAGAATACTATATAAGACACAATGGACAGCTTCATCATGTCCCGAGATGCAGGTTTCCATACGAATTCTATAAATAAAGCTAAATTAACAATTATATGTCATGCTGGTTGAATACAATACGTAACGATATCAAACTGCTAATTTTATAAGGATGGGTTTTTTTAATGACGACAATTCGACATTATAAGATTTAGTTGAAGTATCCGATATTATGGTTAATTCATAGTTTACCCTTATCATAATGTGTTACAAATTATTAGGTTTTGACCAGAATACTCCTAATGTACAAACTCATTTACGTAATCTGGTACAATTCTTGAAGTGATTGTTCCGCAGATAGAAAATATAATAACAAATATTTTGTTAGAAAGTAACATTTTATTTCCTATTTATGTGCTCCCGTGTATCGTGTTTACTTTGTATATTTTCCTCTGAACAATATGTTCCGCTTTTATGAAGTTGGTTAGCAATCTTATGGAATTATTGAGGATAGATATACTTAACACAGACCACTGGTTTACGGCTCATGAGATGTCGATGAAATATTTTGAGTGTAACTAGTGAACTAGAGAAATGTATAACCGTTTAGTGAAGAAAAAGCTATCATTATATTCTAAAAATGTTCGAATTAAATCTGAGGAACAAAAGAAAAATTATGATTAAAGAATTTATCTCTGCATTGTGTGTAATTAATTTGAATGTCTGTGTTATTCAATAAGCGGTAAACATTTTTGAAAGCTGATTTAACCGCAGAAAACACAACGGCTACTTGACAAGTCACCGTTGTCTACTGTTATCTAAACAATCACAAGTTCAAATTATGGTCGACAGATTTACAAAAAATATTTTTTAAACTTCATTTCATGTATTCAGGTAGACAGTTTATCAAGAAAAATTTAACTTATTCACTGTATTCTGTTCAATTCTATCTTAGCTTTACCTTAAACTATACGAAGGACATCAAAAGATACTAAACTAGTGCTTGTCACAAATCTATTCATTAGATTTGAAGAATTTTTGTCTAAAATAAACACTATTGAACAAAGGGAATATATGAAACCCCACATTACAAATTATAAGTACTTACTTCTCTTAGGCACTCTGATAATTCACCTAAAATTTCTTTCTCATTAAACATTTTCCCTTTATATCTATGTTCATAATAACCAGCAATACGTCTTCTTAACGCTCGAGGATATTTTTTATAAGCCATATATTCTTCAACTTGTTTTAACTGAACTCATAAAGTGTGATACAGAAAACAGTAAAATAAACAGAAGTTAATAATAATAACTCAAAGGTCAGTTCAATAAAAGTCAGTAAGTTAAATTCTTGACAAAAAATTGAATCATAGACACTGTTATGGTCTGAAATATTATCGGTGTTTCTATTCGGATTCGTATGATGTAAAAATCGATGTGGCTCAAAATAAGTTTAAACACAATGCAGCTCTTTTTTTATCGGTCTTTGAAGAGTTCTATTTTTGCCTACGTTTGTTTTCCTCTTTGTTTACTCCAAGTTTTATGTTATTGTTAATATTGTCAAACTTACTCCATTACACTTTTTGATTAGAAAATTTCCCCCTGTTGTCGTGTTATGAAATGTGGGTTGATAAACATTTGTTCCAATTACTACTTCAGTTCTCTTTGTATGTACAGTTTGACTTAAAAACTTTAATCTTAATTTTGATTGTACTTCACGTCATTAATCAATACCATTCGAATGTATATTGAGGGTTAAGGCATAGGAAACATCTTTTGCTTCAGTCTTAAGATGTACAGGATTTCTGACCTGACTTATTTTATATCTGTAAAAGAATAAGATTATATCCAACAATGATAGACAATTTTGTTTGATGTATATTGTAATGCATTTATTTGATCTGAGAATGAATGTCACAATTCGTGCTAAAAAAAATTGTCACTTACAGTGGGAATTTAATCTTATTGATATAAATAAGTTCATCTTGTAACTGTAGAGAAATTAATTGTTTATTTAGTTTAAATAAGAATGAAAATTCAACTTTGTAATTAAATGAATAAAGGAATTAATGTAATCTATTTAATAAGTGATAATTTGTTCAGAAAGTACATTAATAAAATAAACCTTTTATCATTAGAAGACAAATTGTGAATCTATGAAATAATAGAAAAGTCGGAGGGAAATAAAAGGTATTTTATTTTCAATCCGTAATTATTTTTCTAGCTTTTATTTTGATTGACCCCAGGAAATAGTTTGAATTAAGGTTCAAACTCATGTGGTCGTTTATTTTGTTCCGCGATACATATTTCTTGTCAAGGTTTTCTATTTCTAGCATAATAATTATTATAATAATGGGATTTCATGGCTATTGAATATCATTTGCTAGTATTCGATTCTCGGATCGGATAGTTTGAGTTAATCTTCTGAAAGTTGAAAAATTATTACTGTTTAGCCTTGATTCTACGAACACAAATAGTTAGATAATTATCCGAAGCTTTACACTGGCCAGTGAAGCATGTCTAAAGTATGGCCAGTATCAGGATAGTATTTATAACTAAGTTATATATTTTATTTACTTTTCAATGATAAGTGAAGATCATCGATAGTCTATCCAATGAACATAGACTAGGATCAAAAAGCATTTTATTTTACAATATCTAGGGTGGATTAATTATACTCCATTTTAAATTCTCTTAATTGAAGATATTCTAATCGTCATATAGTTCATCTTGTTCAAAACAGCTCTGTAAGTTTTTATAAGTGAGGCTGTTCAGTTGACTCATCATTTAACCCCAAATAACTTGAAATCGTGTAAATTGATTTTCTTGAGTTAACTTTATCAGCCACTGTCTAGACAACTAATTAGTGAACAGAATACACGAACTACAACACATATTTGATATTGCCGTCAACAGAGGAGGTCTATATCCATTCAGGTATTTCGTCATTTTTTCAGTTTTCAAAATCTTCACTGTAAAGTTTGATTTAAGTGAAAGTATCTGTATTCTTTATTGCCTCATAAACACAAAAATCTTTCAACATTTTATTGAGTTCCTAAGAGATAGTAGATAAACAAATTTATGAAAGTAAATTTATGTATGCAGAATATATAGCAATTGAATTACGGGTGAATATTTTCGAATTAAGCGATATGTTAAGAATAGAGGTTAATTTGACGATAGTGTTCATCTTGAGACAAGATTTATTTAAGATCCAGAATCCATTGGAGTTACTACTTGAGCAATGTACTCCTAATTCCATAGAGGATTAAACCCAGAATATGCAGATTTTCGGAAGCTCATCAAGAAAGATAAGTTCTAAATGCGAATAATCTATCCATTTATGTATGTATTTGTAAGTATTTAATAGAATCATTGTAAATTAAATAATCGACAGTTGTTGTCAAAACAAATTATTATTTAAATCGCCAGTATCTTCTTGTGTTAGTATTTATACATGTGAAGAAAAATAAAATATTAGTCTACTTGTTATAAGTGAATATTTATTTACTAATAATACCATCACTACTATTATGCTCTCCTGAAGTTTAAATTAATAGCTTCCCTTTCCTTTCAGTAGTCTCTCAGTTGTTTGACTTTAAAGTACTCAACTAATGAAGGGTAATCGGTGTTAGCTTCTAGGCTTGATCCTGGTTCAAAAATTTTATGGAACATGTATGAAATCTAGTCATTAGGTTACTATCTCATCTTAGCGTAGTTATTTAGGATTGAACAATTAAACATTTTTAATTCTTATCAGCGAGGAATATATAATATTCCAGAGATCTATGTTTCTCAAACGACCAGACTCATCTACTTATTAAGATACACATCTGGCTGTGGTAATGAGTAATCTAGATTAGATTCTTTGAGATGATTTCATAATTCTGTGACATTGAGCGGAAATACTTGGGTAAGGAAAAGTAAAAGTCACTGTAATTAACACAAATATTCACTAATGAGATTGTTATCAATTTTTTCCTCATTTATTCTGCTCAAAAATGGACTTTTACATGCAATAGGCAGCGACAATTTATTCGGAACAACAACGACAACTTCGTAACTAGATCAGCGAGCGCAGAAAACCGAAAAAGGCATATACCATAGCTGTAAATCTAATTATCAAGCATAATTTCGAAAATATAAGATAATTGTTGTTTTTCGAGAACAATCTCACTGAATTACTGAAATACTTTTTAGGGTTGTATAACGATTGAGAGCCGATGCAAAAACTACGTTAACGAAGGAACCAGTTCACAATTTATTGAATTTAGAAAAATGTCCATTAGTCATCGAAATCACTAATGCTTAATCATTCAACAAATCTGTTCGTGATCAATTCAAACATTACTAATCCAACTAAAGATGAACTATCTGCGTTAAAACAGCTAAGAAATGAGAAGTCAATAGTCATTTCAAGAGTAGATAAAGGGAAGATAATTGTCGTTTTAAACACACTAGACTGAAGAAATGTCATAAGACATATACAAGATGGTCTTTATGAGTCAATTAAAGAAAAGAAACTACGAGCTTTACTTAACAAACTCATAGCTGAAAAAGTCTCACTAGTAATGAAAATAAAATTAAGACTACCATCATGGATCCAATCGCATCCTAAAAGTTGCAATGCTTACAGATTCTATAAACCACCAAAGATTGAAAAAAACATCACTATGAACTGTAGTTGTTTTCACAAAACTTACATGCATTTAAAATAGAGGAATACCAAGCTAAGATACCCATATCACGTGACAAGTCGATTCACCATAAAATCGAAAACTAAACTGAATACAAGCAAAATATCAGCCCTATTCATATGAAAGATAATGGTAAGTTTTGATGTTTTTTCTTTATTTATCAATGTAGCCATCAATAAACCATCGGATATTAATCATAGTTGCCTAGATTATACCCCAAGTTTACGATGTCCGTTAGGTCCTTCCAAGGTTATTGAGCGTTTGAGTCTGTATTTACGCTCCATGTTATTGAGATTCCCAAGAAGTCTTTATCGACAAAATGGTATGACAACGATTTTAACATTCGCACCGGTCGTAGAAAATTTATCCATACATTCATTGAAAACTAGTAGGTTCATGGAATGAGTTACTCAACCCAGAGTTTGGTTAAGGTAATACAGAGAACACTTTATTACCATCAAGTGAATTCGTTTCGAGGAATTATTTGAATATACAAAGAATATTTCAGTATCCATTATACTAACCAAGGTGATGGAATCTATCGATGACAACCAAGCGTTTCGTGATTATTTGGTTGAAGGAAGACGAAATAATAAAAACAAAACTAGTGTCTTGTGGAAATTAAAACAGTTTAGGGATGGGCACATGCTCGTCCCACGGAGGTCATAGTTGTGTAAAATCTGGTTAACGGGAGTTGTGATCACATAACAGAAAAAGAAGACCAATAGATCGAGTTAGATTTGGATTATCGACACTTGGACGAAACAGTTCATGCAAAGAGTTTTCAAAGAAAGTTATAAAAGTGTAAGAGAAGCTATAGTGTGTAACCACTGAATAGAAGAACATTGTTACAATCCTATAGCGTAAAGAAACACCAGAGAAAATTAAAAGGATTCTAAATATGTACGATATTAGAGTTCATTTCTGAGCAACTGATGTCATCAGGTAGGCTTTGGTTAAAGTTGAGGATAGGTTATCGAAGGTAGAACAATAGGACATTGTCTATGAAATTAAATGTCATGAATGTGATGAGGTAAATGAGGGAATATCTTTACAACTCTACTAACATTAACCTTTTAGGTTTCAAGTCGTAACGAATGTTCGTTGTTAAACGTTACCGTTTTTAAAAATAAATGATTGATGAAAATGAAGCGTGTAGTTAGCCGATGTTTCAGGCATTCATTCTCCTTGAATAAATGTGGTAAAGTAAGGAAAATATACACTCTGGAACAAAATTCATTCACTGAACATCCATACGCTTTACAATAGTAGCTACAATATTTTTTGATCAAGAAAAAAATTATACCTTCAGTAGATATTTCCTAAACCAGATTTCTCAACCGCGAGTATTATTTTAATTAAATTCTAATCTAGTTTCTTTAAGTGTTTGAGATTTTTACAGTTAGTTACTTTAAATTCTGTGACGTCCTAAATTATTTTGACAAAGCGACAAAATTCTTATCATGAACTGCTTGGTCAGCTCATTTGGGAATGACATTAAAAATGTTGAAATTGTGACGGATACTGCCCAACTATATGGAAACTATTATGGTTTC